ATATAAAATCTATTCCTGGTTACAATGGATTGTCTAGAGAGGCCCTCGTTTCTCTTAGTGTCACAGAGCATTTAGATGTTTTAGTTTCTCATACAAAGTTTTTTCCACCATCTACATAATAATCTTTTTAAAACGCCATCTTTTTCCTCAAAATGGTGCGAATTGATGATTCTCACGCACTTCGTCTTTGACCGCAAATGTCACGCCTACTTATTGACCCAACATGATGCACAATTGTTTGCTTGATTACTATACATATACATTTTGCATTAGACAGTTTGTTTCTACACACTCATTTCACGTGATTCCTCATTCGCAGTGAGAAGGTAACATGCTGAAAAGGTGCATGACGCCTATTTCAACTTGTCCATCTCTTCACGGTACATTTGCATAAATCGCCCTTACGAAGCGCATATTTGGCTGTTCAACCGCTCTTTCATATCGAGATAGGTGCAAGCAGTTGAATCTTGAACCTCTGTGGTTACGAAGAATGCAATTAAATCTGTGCTTCCTCCACAAACTCGCGTGGCGGAAAGCATATATTGGAACCTATCAATTGCACTTTCGGGAAAATACCAGTTATGAACTGCGAGATAGTGAAAGTATATTCCATTTACCTAAATTCAGGACCAGCCTAGGGAGAAATTTCTATCTTCTTAGGTATGGCTCCATATGGAATAAGCTGCCAAAAGAGATTAGATGTATTGAACATTTTTGCATGTTCAAGATAATGATAAAGGCTCATCTGTCAACGGACAGAGCGAAATGGATCTTAAAATTTCAACTTGATGATGAAAAGCTGTATGAAGAAGGGCCGGATCATGTATGATACCGGAGAACATCAACTCTACTGCACCAGAGAAAACTTGATCAGCTAGGATGAGCTGCTACAAACCGCTTCTCATGCTATTCCTTAACGCTACCTCCCATGCGGTTTTACTCCCTTTAAACTTAATTCATACCAACTGTCTTCTGTTTAAAACCGAGAGCAAAATTATTTACTGGTGTGACGTCAGGAACTATTTTCGTAATTTTCCACCACAAATTGATTAATTCGTAATATTGTTCTGCGATCCCTTTCGCTACATTTGTTCTCCAGTGCTAATCATTTCCCCTTCTTTTCTGAAGTTAACAGTCCAGAAACATATACTTGAATTCAGTGATGGCAATAACTGATTCCCTATGCGACTTTTGCCTATGGACAACACGTACAGTCATCTGTCTCCGGCTGTCACGCTACACAATTTATCGTTTGATCGGCTCGACCGATTTCTACGCCGATGTACAAAACATACCTGCCTATTTTTTACACTAACGATATAGTTTTCACATAATTCCTCTTTTCTATATTCTTCCTTATTTCATAGTTGGCCACGACTAGACTGATCTCCTGTGGTGACGGATTACAGCTTCCAGATTATAAAAGACGTTACCTATGCAAGGCAAATTGCCACCAACTGACTGGCGTATAAAAAAGTGCCATAATAGAATGATCCGCATGACGGACTGGGCTGAGCCTTCATGGCCCATAATACATGTACAAAAGCAGCTCTAAAAAGAACACAGCATATGATAAACAGGTGATGGCTCATATGCTACTATGCCACACCGGCACACGGCCAGTTATTGCATGGAAGTGCGAGCGAAACCTTTCGAGGGAATACCTTGCATGGAAGCAGGTTCCCTGGGGATGGTTCCACGAGTGGCCGTATTACTTTAACTGGGCATCTGTTTAAATCTGCTTACGTTATTGTTCCTGGTTTTTAATTTCTTTAATGCCTTAATCCTGCCAATTAGTTTAGTACCTGTTTTGGATCCATTGTAAAAAGCGTGAACAAATTGATTATTTTTTTGCGATCCTGTTGTACACATTGATCAGACCACATAGTTGGACTGCACCTCGAATCACCGAGGAATATACCATTTATTTATTTATTTAAATACTCTAGCATCCAACATCGCTCATCGTCGTAAGAGTAGGGTCTAATGGAATCTACACGGGCGCAAGTAATTAAATCTATTGGTAATCGGACGCATATAGGTAGACCAAGGAGCACCATACCCACCGTTCTCGCGCAAACATCTTACCCGGCGAGATTCAGGAAAGGAATATGAGTGACCCATGTTCGAAGGAATAATGTAAATCTATCTGTCCAACACATCGCAATCGAGTAAATAATTGGATTTACAAACCAAAGAATTACGATCACATGTCAGTTTACCTATGGACGGAAAAAATCTGCGGTAATCGGTGACGTGCAGTGATCAAAAACGAAGAGCCGAGCAGAGCGATGACGGACCTAGGTAGGGTGAACGGAGTTGTCGAGTCGTGTTTAGCTTCGGGATGGTTTGGTACCATACAAGCACGTAGCAACTTATTTGATGGACATTCTGAGGCATTCGTTGTGTGAATGAATTGCGACGCGTAGTCTCAAAGTGGAACGCGATTCGCATCAGCTTGCCTAGGCAAGGATGGACCTCTAATCCCAGTGTCGCACCTACTAGTGATGAGGTATAGCAAAATTTGCGTGCTTGTCGCAGCGCATTGCCGTCACGTAGTCATCTGACTTGCATAAGCTCGAGCTACTGCCCACTAGTAGCGAAGTACAATGGTGCTTGCGAGTTCCGATCAATAGGGACTGGAATAGCATGGAGGGGGAAAGTCTTTGAAGTAAATGGTGTTCGACCTGTAGGGCGTGTAGTGGGTATCGGTTAAGAGTAAATCGATCAGTCCTATCCGTTAGTACGCAGATCACTGAAGTGAGCAAGGGCAAGAAGAAATAACTGAGAGAGCTAATAGGACAAGTGCAGCTGCATTCATTACGTTCAAATGGGAAGTCACAAATACAACCAAGTGTGACCAAATAGGAACAGCGAGGGGTGTGTGTCGTCTTACACACACAGCAGACAGACGTGCATGGTGCCTGTATGATGGCGGGCAGTTTTTTGTAGTGGCTGCGCCGCAATATAGATCAATCAGAAGATCGTAAGGAGAAATGAAAAATTAATATTCATGAGTAGGATTTTTGATGAAATCTTATGGAATTCGTCGCAGTAGCATTAGACGGCAGTTTCGTCCTACGGGGACTCGCTGATAGTTTGCACCCCCGGATTCTATCAGGAACCGAACCACTTGAGCCACTAGCCAGCAGCTTATGTCACTAAGTAGTGGAGGACAGCAGCGGACCGTCATGAATTGCAAGGTAACTGCGACATCGCGGTGCATCCTTCACTGAGACACAGGTCACTACCCTTGCTTGTCCCAGGAAGTCACGACTTCCCCCAACAGCAGCTATATGTACTCATAGCACCGAAAATCCCCTTACTTATGAAGAAACAAAACATTTGCCCTAAGAGCTTCTGAACGCTATGCCTTGGTAGCTGCTGTTGAGTAGCCAGTTCCGTCCTCTACAATGTCACCAACATGGATGGCAGTGAGTGGTGAATTCCAGTAATGCAAAACCGCCGTCTGAGGATTTTCCGGTTTGATGGTAAGAAATCCACTTTGAAGGCTACTGCAACGAAAGTGAGGTAATATTACACTTTAGTTGAAGTACACATCCAATTACTAGCATATGCGATCAAAATAGCGAGCACAGAGTCCTCAACTGACCTTATAAGACATGTGAATTGCAGCACGTCTTAAAATGAAGGGAGAGAAAATAGGATCAATAAACAAAATTGTAATTTTGTTGAGGTTTTCATCCCAGCAGTTCACAAGCTCAACAAAATTACAACCAAAATCTTGCTACTTACAAGTAAAACAAAAATGTAATGAAATGCCATATTTGGGTGGGAGCCACAATGTGACGGATGTCGAACAACAAAACAAGTGGCTCCAGTACCGTCTAATTGGGTGATCACGATCCATCTCGCCTCATGCTGCTTTATTACTAACAAGAAAGATCCAAAGAGTGATGGTTCAGTACGAATAGGCAGGGAAAGGAGACCCCAGATAGAATGACGGAGTCGGAAATAAGGAAAAGCGCCATTAACTTCGTGACTACGCTATATCCGAAAGAATAGATGCCTACTGATGTGGTCCCTTTGAGACCCCATCTAGGATGACGGTACGTGTCAACCGAACTCAATTTCTTTGTGAGTTTTATCATGTTCGCTCACCCCATCATCGACTAATCACCTAGGAAGTTAAACCAACTAGATACAAGGCGAGTAAACGATGCACACCGAGACATACAAGCAATAAGAAGTTGGGGGACATGGCCTAAATAAAAAACCGTCGGTGGCATGGCGTAATAGCGCTTCGCTGTCACGCGACTACCATCAGTCGCGCGTGGGCTGTATACCACGAGGGCACCCACCCCTACGCGGATTCGAACCCGTGAACGTATGGTTGCAAACCAGGCGCGCAGACCACTCGACCACCGGCCGACATGTTATGCGTATGAATTGAAATCGTGGTCGGAGGGGAAGGTTAAGCGGGAGAGGGAGGGACAAAGAAAAACATAACACGAACACCACTGAGGTCGGTTCCTAGCCATATCAACAAGTGTTTCCAGCCAAACGTGTTCATCGTCTTTCGGATTCCAACCAGGGAGCCGAGAGGGGGACATGGCCTAGCTAACATAGGGAGTTCGGACTCGATAGACAATTTAGTGTGACACCGGAAGGTTTGTTTCCTAAAGTCGAGGAACCCAGGTGATTATCGCTCATCCGGTACTCCCACCAAATATGAGCGCGCATAGCAGATGCAGGCTTGTAAACAAGACCACTTCCTTAATTACTTCAGTGTACGACTGTTCTGTCACTAACCCATACAGAGACAACAGCGACAGCATTGCGTCATTCCCCGGGGACGTATGACCTATGAGCCTATGTCAAGCCGTCTTGATGAAGATAAAGGGCTGGATGTAACACGACATCCGATTCGATGCGAAGTGCACCGTATCGCTGATCTCAACAACAAGGTCATTTGCTTCACTCGCAGATTGATGCAGTTGAGTGGATGGTATAAAAATTTGCTAGGTAGACAGCCGTACCTGGAGAAAGGTGGTGATAACTTCAAGTTGGGTACCACCATTTAACCGGAATGTGGGCAACCGAGAAGGGTCGCTCTTGCGAACCAGAAGATGGGAAGGAAGATCGGTCGGTTTCGACAACCAAACGATGGCCAAGCGGTACAGGATGCACTGAATGTCCAGAGTCGGTTTGGATGGCAAAAAGTCACGAAGGAAGACGTTGCACGATCGGCATCGCAAAGAAGCATCGATCATGTGTACAATAGGGGCCCGTAAACAAAAGCCGGAATGGAGGTTAGCCCCATGAGAGGGGATAAACTGTCGTCTGTGGTATAATCCGATCCATGATCTCTCGAATTCTCGGATTTGTTCCAACGGAAACCATCGTGCTCCCAGCGACTCCGCATCAGGAACGGTCTTGAGCGATCCTGTGGGAAAAAAGTAACGAAGCACTTTGAGTTTCGTCGCAGCCATATTCATACAATCACACATTCAGAAAACACCAAACGGACATCTGGCCAGAGAAAGGCTCGTCATCACTTTAGAATCCGGCGGAAACCGAGAACACGAAGTAACTCCTGTGGTTAGTGACTTATAAGTACTGAGGTGCGTGTGTGACGGTAACGGATCGCCGTGGATGAGTACTAGATGCGCGAGCCCATCCTCTACTGATATGGACCTTAGTTCGGCACAGAGCATAGGGATAGCACACGGAGTTGCGACCTTGGTTAGGTAAACAATCTCCTTATTATATCAGCAGCTTCCTTGTGCCTTGTGGTAACTGGCAAGCACCAGAGCGAGAGGAAGTACGCAATGGCTTGAGGCTCGTGCTTGATACCTAACGCACCCGGATTGTACATCGGACCTTTCGAGTACATGCGTGTCGCAGTGTTCTCATCGTCAAATTCTGAAAATAAAAGCCTTCTTCATTATCATGATTACAAGCTAGCTGAAGGTGAGAAAGACACTTTAGCTATTGTGCCGAAATAAAAAATAAGATAAATGAAAAAGCGAGATCCGAAATGTTACGAAATACAGTATAAAAACCAAAAAGTAATGGGATGCTTGATATCATGTCATGCATCGATTGTGAGATCGCAGTTGAATATGGAAGCTAAGCAGGAGGAGGAGGGACAAAAAGCACGATGCAAAAGCCATCAAGGTCAGCTCTTCGCCATGTTAAAATGTATGTGTTCATCGTCCTTCGGACCACAGCCCGGCAGTCGGGAAACCTCAACCGACGCCAACTTCGAAGTGAGAGCCTTCATTCCTCTTGACCGAGCCAACGTTTAGCATCCCCCTCCTTTTCTTCCATCCACACCCTGGGGTGCACAAACAACGCACGTCGCGGGAGTCGTTGTGCTGACATGCGCAACACGTGGTCCAGCCATCGGAGCCCGGTGCGTGATATAATGGTGTAGAGCGGTTCACTCGGCCCTACTGCACCGAATTCGAGACGCCGAACATGCTCATTGATCAAACGGTGCTCCCACAAGACAGCTAGAGTGCGAAAGCACCGATGGCTCCTTACCTCTGTCGATCTGACGAGCAAAGTTTTGCAACCGTTGAAAGCACGGCTGCGTGATTAAATCTGCCGTTCAGAGAGTGATGTCGTGCCTGCAACATAGGTGGCGTAGATTGGCAAAAGCGCTTCGAGCTTTTGCTATACGGCTGGTGATCACATCTTCGATCCCAAGGGTGCCGATATGTAGATACTTGCATTCCGGAACGGTCTCTAGCTGTGCACTACCACGGGCCAATGTAGGTGTGGGTCCTTACCAATTTTGGAGGTTTATGCACTCCGAGGGTGTAAAGCAGAGCACGAAACGATTGGCACTTAGTGCTAATGTGTCCAGCGCTGCTTGGTACGTTCAGGAGCTGTCAAAGGTGAGAGCAACGTCGTCAGCATAATTCAAGTAAATAAGTCGATCACTAGAAAGCACCACCACATCTAAGTCGTATCCAGTGTCCCCGTTTCCATGGCTTCGTGGATGGTGAAGTTAAAAAAGAAAGGAGAAATTGAAAAGCGGAAACAAATTGTCAAAAGCTCTTACTCTGCCCGAACTATGCGCGTGAAGCGCTCTGATAATGTTTACACATTTGTCGGACATACTTTTCCTGAGCAGACAGTCCTAAAGGGAACATCGATCCACCATATCGAAGGTACCTTTAATGTCGAAGAATACGACTAGGACGAGTCGCCAATAGATATGTGAAAATACAGTCAATACAGCCATGACTTCAACGAAATCTAGCTTGTTCTTTAGGGTTCTCCGTACCAACAGTCTATTTTTTATACAACCGCAGAATTTGCAATTCACCAACTTTTAGCCTAAAAGGTTAGATAGAATTTTATAGTTTCGTGCAGGGATTCAGTCCCAACTTTCGGACAGAAACGGCACCGCCGCTTAGTTAGGACATCAAAAGTAACTAAAGCGTCCGGAAGCATCACCTACCTAACGAACACATTGCGTACCAAGCCTATTAGTTCACGGGTCCCGAAATGAAGTACTCGGCTCAAAGCAGTCCCGAGTGATGAGTTTGTTGCCAATGCAGACGAACACCGAATATTGCTTTAAAAGAACGAACAGACTGATGAGTGTAGAAGGTACAAAGCACAACTGTTCCCACCAAAGTCTGAGAATCACCTCTGTAATACTAGGTGAACCAACATGTCAAACCTAAAGAGAGGACGGAATTAGACACACATGAGACCGGGTGGCTTGTATGGCTTATCGGTTTTAAAAAAATAAAGTAACCTGTGACATTTGGAGGAGTTAAAAGCATGCTGAGAGCACAGTAGTCATGTGCTTTCATCTGACCGCTTTCAAAGTAGAATTGTTATCTCAGAATGAGGTAGTGTGTGCCTATCAGCAATGATGCAAAGTGGCGCCAAAGGAACGAAACTCTTCGACCTGCTGAAAATAATAGTTCATGATATGCTCCGTGTGATTCAGTTCAATCCAGTTAATCTGACCCACAGTGAGATATGTCCCGCAATCCTCATCCACAACTGGCGCGCTGTCATGTCTAAGTAAGTGGGCCCAGCAATTGCATACAAATTGGCAAGCGATGTGTGAGTGACTGGACAGAGATAGTGGTGGTTTAACCGAGGGCGTTGGTATGTGGGTCGCTGTGTACAGCAGTACGGGTTGAGCCGAAGGGGCAAACTCGCGCCCCCGCGGATTTCAAGTGGCGTAGAAATACTTGCCTCATATCGTAGTGCTCTGGCACGGTGGACAGCTTTCCTGTCTCTCTCTCTTCTTGCTAGAGTGAGCGATGAAGAAATTTGGGTACTCATGTTCCATTAGGGGTGCTAGTGAGGAGCCGCACTCCTTTAGCTAGCGTGTCTGGGGTACACACATTGCTTGAATTACTAATGAGTAGGAGGAATTGGTAATTGTAATGTTTTCGTCCCATCTGTTCACAAGCTCCGTCGCAACGATGCTGCACCTAAACGTGGTGCGACGGTTTGCGTACCTCTTTGACCCATTGAGCTATACTGAATGGTGCCTCTGAGTCCTTTGAGAACTACTCCTACCAGGTTGGTCAATGATGAGAAGTCAGACAAACTCAGCATCCCTGTCCTCCAGGTTGGGAATTTGAAATGAGATGGTGTCCATTTCTGTAAAACTAAATCATTGCCACCCCACAGCCTTGCGGACAGGCTTTTGAGCCAAAGGCTCTGATAGAGGACTCTAATCGTCCTGCTGTCTAGGTCTGGGCGCCCTGGCAGTATCTCAGCCCACATACAACCATGACATTTTCTTCACACCTAAACTTTAACCTGCATCGGCCATCGCGCAGATTATCAAGGGTCGTCTTATCTGCTGCATACAGCAGGGCGGATAAGCGAAAACATGCTACTGCTGGCGCCTCCCTTCTTTCTTTTCCACCTTTTTCTCTTACTCCCATCCCGACCCCCATTACTAACCTTCCTTCTATAACTCCCAGCTTAATTGACAGCAACCGAAGTGCCACTAGAGTAGAACCATCTGCAGCCACCATCCCACAGCACCTATCGGCAAAAGTCTCTTATAAGGCCACGCTATCCCGTTTCCATAGCGACATTCAATGTTCGCACTCTAAGACAAACAGGTCAACAGGCTGCACTCACACGCACCTTGGACACACTGGGTATTGATGTGTGTTGTGTGTTCGAAACCAGGATAAATGACATTATTGGGGTTGCTGAATTAACTGCACCCGGCTTATCTTCTCGTTAATAGTTGCACGCATCCGGAGACGACGATGCAGCACTCACGGATCAAGCTAGTGTAGGTATCAATCTAAGCTCCAAGTCTGAGCCATCGTTGATTGATTGGATTCCAGTGAACAGCCGTTTATGTGCAGCCCGTTTGACGACATCACTTATGACTGATTCATGAAGCATTACAAAACGCTGTTTGTTTGTGATTCCGCTTATGCACCCACCGACTGCAGTTCAAATGCTGTCAAGGACACATTCTATCACGAACTGAATGCGCTACTATGCAGTGCTACTGATGCAACTATTCTAGTACTTGCAGGGGATATGAACGCACAAGTAGGGCGTCTGAGCTCTTCAGAAGCTCAGCCGGGTGGTAATTATGAACTTAACTCCGAACGGACTGACAACGGCGAACGTCTACTGCAACTGTGTGCGGAGCACCAGTTGTTTCTAAGTATCACTGCTTCTAGACATAGTGGGCGCCGAAGTGCCACTTGGGGTCCTCCTGTAGCTGGCCAGAGATGAACCCAAATTGACCACATAGCTATACGCTGCAGATGGCGTGATTCCATCCTGGATTGCCGCTCATACTGGAGTTCCTGTGTCGACTCTGATCATGCCCTGGTAAGCTGTCGTTTCTCCATGAACTTCACCGGGAGGCGCACCAATTGTCCCCTACGATTGGCAACGAAGAAATTGTCTCAGCCCTCGGTCAGGCAAGCCAATCAAGACGCACTGCGTACCGAACTTTTGCTGTCTTGTCCTAATGACACTGAGCTTCAGTGGAATAGGATCTCCGCCGCCATGCACGACGCAGGAGCATCTGCTTGTGGCACTATCCATCGTCACCGCACCAGTCACTGGATATCCGAGAGGTCGGTGAACCTGTTGGAATCTAGAAGACATCTCCCGGCTGGTTCTGAACACAATGTGACCAGACGGGCTATTGGAGAGAACGAAAGCAGAGCCTACGTGCTGACAAGGAAGCCTGGTGCACCAGGCAGGCTCAAGAAATGGAGGAGGAAGGAGCATTAGATAATTATCGCAAGCCCTTCCAGCTGATCCGCACCATGGGTCCCAAGTAATCAGGCATCAGTGAGACAATCAGAGACAGCGCCGGTGCGCTGATACACACTAAGGAGCGCCGTATGACTCGTTGGGCGGAACACTTTCAAGATCAGTTCAGCTGGCCCCCTGCTATCGGACCTCTTCCTACTCAGGTGATGCAGGACGAGCCATGGACGGTTAGTTTACAGCCTCCATCAGAGGCCGAGGTCCGAAACGCGATCACAGCCCTCAATGGTCTTCGTGCCGCTGTTCCGGATCCCCTCCCACCTGCACTATTTAAGGATGGAGGGGAGTTCCTCTGCAAAGCACTGACCTCCCTATTCGAATGTATCTGGAAAGAGGTGCCCCGGCTAATTGGATCCAATCGATTATAGTGGCAACCTCCAAAAAGGGCCGTCGCACAGACTGTTCTAACCATAGGGGTATTGGCCTAACGCCAGTTGTGACAAAATTATTGGCCTCGATTATCGTTCGTCGCCTCACTGCGGAACGGGAATCTCGGATTAGAGAAGAGCAAGCCGGTTTCCGCCCAGGACGTGGCTGTATAGACCATATATTCACTTTGCGGCAGGTGCTAAAGCAGCACCACGCATACCGCAGACCGACGATAGCTGTGTTCCTCGATTTCAGGAGTGCGTTCGATTCAGTCAATCGATCGATTCTGTTCGAAATACTTGCGCGGAAAGGTGTTCCCACGAAATATGTGAACATCCTTCGTGCTCCATACTCGAACACTACAGGCCGCGTCAGGGTCTACGGTGTCCTATCGGATAGCTTTCCGACCACAAGTGGCGTTCGTTAGGGTTGTCCGATTTCCCCATTTTTGTTCAATCTCGTCGTGGATTCTATCATGGAGTGTTTCCTGACGGAATCCAACGACGGAGGCGTTGAAGTGCTGCTTGGTGAAAGGTTAGTTGATCTTGATTATGCGGACGATATCGTCTTGCTTTTCAACGATGTTGCGGTGGCACAATCAACCCTGAATAGCCTGTGCAGAGTGGTCCTATTATTTAGTATGCACTTCGCACCTTCACAGTGCAAAGTGTTGTTGCAGGACCACCAGCCACTTGATGACCCCTTGACGCTTGCTAACGAGGAACTCGAGGTGGTTGATCAATTCACTTATCTTGGCAGCTGCATCAGCAATGATGGGCGCATAGAAACTGACGTCAGCTCACGCATTGCAAAGGCCAGAGCTACCTTCTTGAACCTGCGGCATCTTTGGCGACAGAAGGGAGTTTCCCTCCGTCTGAAAGGCCGTGTATACAAGGCCACAGTGAGGGCAGTCCTGCTGTATGGTAGTGAGACTTGGCTCCTTCAAGTCTTTGATCATCGTTGTCTGCGAAGCATTGCTGGTGTCAGATGGCACCAGGGTGTCCGCAACGATGATGTGCGTAGTCGAGTACTAGCTGGTTATAATCATGCTAGCTCCCTTGAATAACAAATAGCACTGAACAAGTTGCGTTGGCTCGGGCGCGTGCTACGTATGCCTGGTCACCGCTTACCTAGGAGGGCCTTGTTTAGTCTGCCAGGTGTAGGGTGGCGCAAGGCTCGAGGTGGACAGAAGTTGACTTGGCAGCGGGAAATGAAGTCACTGACGACCAAACTGGGTGCCGTTGGTCCGTCTCGCCTTCCGGGTTGGAGTCCACGTGACTCACCTTGTGCTTGGCTCGAGACTTTGCAGGACATGGCTCGCAACCGACACCAGTGGCGGGTCTGCTGCCGTCTCCTAATCGGATTGTCTGTTTAAAGTGTGTTTGGTGCTGAGTTATCTGCGGGGTAATGGCTGATTATGACGCGTGGCAGTGAAAGCCGGAAGGAAGCTGTCTCGCCGATGCCGCCTTATCTTTGCACGATAGCCAGCTGTTTGTGACGGTATGTTGTCTACACAAGGTGTAGGCGCCTTGACCCTGAATGTTTGCTTAGGGCATTAAGGTTTTCAGGTAAGTCCCTCTTCTCTCCCTCTTCTTATTCTTTATTTCATAGGTCCTCATGGTTGTATGGCAGCGAAGCATCAGTTCAAATGGCTGATGTACTGCTGTTGATGATGATGCTCACAAGCTACATAACACAGCCTAGCCCGGAAAAGCACAGGACGCGTTTCGCCCTATTGGGGATTGTCAGTGGTGCGCATTCCCTGGATCCCCTACTGGGGAACAAACCCATGACCGCTAGAGGCAGATGCCAATTAGCCAGCAGTTTAAGCCACTGAACCATGGGGAACGTCGGCTGGGCTACACAATTTGCAATCTAACTGGGATATAGCACGACCTATCTTCCACTGCCACGCAGGTTACTACCTTAGCAGATGACAGTGGCTAGCCTCCGAAGGTCATGATTTCCTCTCACTAGACGATAAGTCCATAGCATATGAAACTAGGAGAGGCTCTGAGGGAATGCGCACCACTAACGAGCCCCAATAGGGTAAAACGCGTCCGGTGCTTTTCCGGACTAGGCTGTGCTATGTAGCTTGTGAGCAGCTGGGACGAAAACATTGTAATTGCTTGAATTGTCAAAAAGAGTTAGCACCAATCCTTGTTTGTAGCACTTAGGGAAAAATTATGGAAGTTCAAATACTGCCCCTTCCATGTAGGCCTAGGATACACCAATCCACGTGTCGATCCACCATTAGTGCGTTCGATCAGTAGCTCAAGGACCGGTACACCATCATTTAGCTTTCGTGCAGTTGTCACTCTGATACTTTGGTTGTTGCTTCATTGAAGAAATGCATATAAAATCAATACAGTTGCATTGATTTTATTAATCAGAATTGGCCTTGCGGATACATAAAAGGTGAGGAAAGAAATGAAAATTACCTCCAACGATTTCGCCCCAGAAAGTGATCGACAGCCAGAAGGGCCCATTTGACTCGATAAGGGAAATTTGTCTTGGCTCAAAATGCAGTCCCGATTCTTCTAATACCTCTCTGCGTACAGCGTCCTAAAAAGGCAATCATGTCATGGTGAATGCTGAAAGAAAAAAGGCGGTAGAAGCAGGAAATACAATCCAAAATATAGCGGATTAACTGGTGTATGGTGAAAGCCTGAAGACCAAAAAGAGTGGACAGCTAAAAGGCCGATGGGGAAATGGCCAAACAGACCGCATTGGTAGGTCGATAATTGATGCGAGCACGGGCCTTAGAAACTACAAACGACCCGCTCAGAGTGGCCTCGACGATTCCTGATCATAAACGGAGGAGAAAATGCTACTATCCCGTGCGGTAACCGAGACCGAACGGCGACTGTCCAATGGAATTGGACGCACAGAACAGCGACAAAAGAAAAGAGACAAAAACAAACCGGATCAACAGTAAACCATCTGTTACTGACACAAACACTACAGAGAACAGTTGTTTGTGACTCAGTCTTGAGAAGCTACTCAACGCGGTAGCGGAGGAAATTCAGTCTGGTTCAGTTCAACGACTATGAATGAGACTGTATCTAAGAGGAAGTAGAAAGGTTTCTGTACAACTTTATCGAATTAGGAAAAATCAGTAACATTTAGTTGTGAATCGTCAGCGGTGGTGTTTGATCAGTTATTCGTTTATCCTTGTCCGAGTAGGAGTTCGTATTGGTGTCGTTATTTCCGGGTATACGGTGTCTTTTTTGGCATTGTATGTGCATCGTTTCACAAAAGCACAGGTTTCCGAAAGAATCGTTGATACGTGTTGTAAAACACTTCATTGATCCTTCTGGTAGTGTATTCCATAAGTTTGCGATTCTTCGTTCTGCACAAAGCTGATGTGATACCTTGTTCATGCAGGGGACCCTGAGTTTGTAACGGTGTCCTCGGGTGTTACACCGTTCCCGCAGGTGAAATGTTGGCCGCAGTATGGGGTAATGATTCAAGTGTAGTACTCGGTGGGTCATAATAAGGTCAATTCTAACTCTGCGGTAGGATAGTCCGAGCCTTTCATAACGTGTTTCATACGGAAGCTTTCGTAGATTCGGTATCATTTTAGTTGCGATATGCTGTATTTTCTCCAGCTTTTCAGTTTACCACAGGGTTATCGGATTGTAAGCTGGGGTACCGTATTCAAGGATTGGTCTAATGAGCGAGGTGAATAGACGAGGGACGGTTTCTTCGGACCATGTGGAGAAACTGCGTCTTAATGCCCAGAGTATACGAGGTCCCGCAGGGCACACTTTCCCTGTATTTTCTAGTGAGCTGATATCATGTCGCGAGAGCACTCCTACGTCTCTGACAGATGTGTTGGGATGCAACTGGCCGTCCAAGGTGCATGATCGAGTGGCTGGTCGTCTGGTGATACTGATGAACTCCGACTTGCTTGCGTTAAGAGGGAGTTGCATTTCAGTGGACCACGTTGACAATCGCTCCAAGTCATGCTGGAGGCGAGCGCAGTCATCCTGATTCTCAATGATCCATTAGATTTTCAGTTTATCTGCTAATAGAACACATGGTGACTGCAGCTGCTGCGGAAAATCGTTGATATGAATAAGAAATAATACTGACCCAAGTACAGTTCCTTGAGACACGTCACTGGTCGACAGGAACCAGTCCCTCAGGTAGTCATTGACCTGTACTCTAAACATTCATCCCACAATAAAACTCGTGTAACCACTAAAGTAGCGTGCCACCGATTCTGTATGTCCTCAGTTTACGAAGGAGTACTTCGTGGTTCACTCTGTCAAACGCCTTACTAAAGTCGATGTACACCACGTCAACATACTTCTGTTCATTGAGAGCTCGTACCCACTGGTGGTTTGTGTACAGCAAGTTGGTGATGCAGGATCGCCATTTCGTAAAGCCGTGTTGCGCTGGCGTCAATACGTCCATCGATTCGAAGAACGACAACAGACACTTTTTCAAAACCTTCTCAAAATGTTTGGATAATATCGAAGTCAAACAGCTCGGTTTATAGTTCTCTATTTTACTTGGATCACCACTCTTAAGAAGCGGTCTCATTATCGAGCATTTTCTGTCGTTAGGGACAGATCCTTCAGAGAGTGATTGATTGAATAAGTTTGTCACGGCTGGTGAGATGATAATCGATAGGGACTTGAGTATTAGTGGGTGAAGTCCGTCTGGTCCGGGGGCTTTGTACCATCGAGGTTGAGGAGTAGCTGATACACATAGACTGCATCACATCGTAGGTCGTCGAGTAAGACTGGCGCAAACTGTACCGGTACTGGAACAGCCGTCGGTTTACTGGAAAATACAGTGAGGAAGTGCGTAGCCAAAGCGTCTGCGCGCTCCGCGCTTGAAATGAGCATCTGTAGGTCCAAGCTCTCTAAGACTGGTAGTTGGCCCCCAGATTTCAGTTGATGTTTCAAATAGGCAAATATTCTTCTGGATGCAGCTGTGGCCGAGGATGCTAGCTCCTCTTTGAACTGCCTGCGTTTCTTGATTTTTGCGGCGTTACATAAGTTACGCTGTTTCTTGTACAGCGTGTAATCTTCGTCACAACTCGAGCTGATGTATCCATCCCAAAGTTTGCAACGCCGTCGCGCTAACTGTCTGTATTCCGTATCAAACCAATGCGGTTTCACAGGTCCGATTTTTGAATACTTAAGGGAAACGAACCGAGTACAGAGCGAGTTAACCTTTCCCTTCACTAATGACCAACAGGCCTCAAGCGACGCATCCTGTGGTAGTGTCCAATCAGTCTGACTTGCGGCTTTGACGAGCCTGTTGAAGTCCATCTTCCAATAGTTGAATGTCGGCCTCCAGTGGTTGTAATACGGTAACGACAGTTCTATGTTTGCCATAATGGAGCAGTGATTACTGTTCGCCAGAGGTTCGAGGACTCTGATCACGTTCAGCTTCTGCTCGCAGCTCGTAAACATTAGGTCCAGACAAGATGCCGAGTGCGGAGTTACGCGCGTCGGTTGGATGACATGTTGCGTTGCCCCGATTTCAATAGCCATTTTAGCGAATTGAGCCTCAACGTTGCCATGACCGGGAAGAAGCCGAACGTCTGGCCAGAATATCTTAGGTAAATTTAGATCCCCCATCAGTAAGAACTGAGGGTGGCTCATGTGCTTCTGTACATGTGGTAGCCAATCGCAACAACGGTTTAATGGGCTACGGTAGATAACACCCACTATTAGTTCTGCGCGTCTGAGGCGGATTGTGCACCACAATTGCTCGCATAAACTATCCTTGAGTCCGATAGGTGCTGGTAAGTTTGCCAGATAGTGACGATTTTATGTACAACAGAACACCACCATGAGCCTATGATTTTCGGTCGCATCGGAAAAGAGTATCCTGACAACGCGACTTCTTGGGGTATGACGTCGGAGTTCAGCCAAGTCTCTGCGAGTCCTAAAACGTCCGGCCGCTCCGAGACAGCGAAGCGGTACAGTTCGTTACGTGTGTTCATTAGGCTGCACACGTTGGCGAATGCCACACGGAGTTCCTGAGAGGCACTGCGGGACGTGCCTGGTGGTTGAGCAACCGGTTGATACCGGTTCGTACACCCTTCTTGATCAGCAGAAAATTTACAATTTGTAAGTCAGTCTCTGTACGGCGTTTAAGCTCAATGACCGCAGTCTTCAAACGATCCCTGTCTTCGGGTTCCAAGTCTCGGCGGATGTGAAGTTGCATGCCTTTCAGCTTTGACAGAGACAGTATGAGCTGCGGCATATTGTGATTTGCAAAGGTGATTCTCGGCGGTTGACATGACTGGTTAGTTTTCTGGCCAAGTCGGATTACTTGTTTAATCGTCACATTGTCTTCGCTCACATCCAAGAGTCTATCGATAAGCCCCTGGAGGAACTAAACATCGTGATCATAACGTATCTGAGGGTTTTCAGCTCTTGACTCTGATACATGGAAGACCATGAGATTATGACGCAACAGTGATATCGATGATGAACCCGTGGGAGCAGAACTAAAGACGTTTAACTGATTAGGTTGTTGTTTATCAGCAGGGGACGTCTGAACCCGATTACGTAGTCGCTTGCGCTTTTGAGTGGTCCATGGATCCTCGGTGTTCAGAAGTTTACAGACAGGCTCTGAGAAATTCACGGACCGATCAGTGAAGCGGTATTTCGTAGATTTCAAGTCTCAGTCTTCCATCGGTGGGGAAAATTGAACCTGAGGATCGGCCGGGGTCGAAGACGCTGCTGGTGGTGCAGAGCGCGGAGTGACAAGAGAAGGCGAGGTGACAAAGGTACTTTCACAAGGGCATTTGACCCCACATGGTGAACGGTTGGTTTCTGTCTGGAAGAGAGATTTTCGCGTAGGTGTTGGCGGTTGCTGTGTATTCTGATGTTTTGCACCGCGACATTTATCACATATAACTTGAAAAAACCGATGTCGGATGTCGAGCGATGTTTGAAACACGTCAACGGATAAGCCAATGCAAGAAATATGGAACAAAACACTGCAGCCGAAGCACCGAAGTTCATGAGCCTTATTGCCCACAACTTTTGAACACGAACCACAAGTAGCTTGAGACGGCATCACAAGGTAGAGCAAATCCAAGATGGCGGACAGGGATGGCAGTAGGGCAAATCAATGAAATCTCCGGAACTAACCGAAGAATAGTCACCAAATTTGCACCGATTGGAAAATACGTCAAAAGGAGAATATTGGTGCACAATGCACATAGAAAAACACGGATAACACAGTAATCCGAAGCAAAAGTCGTATCCAGCACACGGTGATCCAAAAATCCGCGACGTCCGTGGGTACAGCTGAGTTTGACAGTGTAATGTGTTGGATCCAGTTGTCGTAAAGCACCCATAAGCAGCCATGTTGAAGAAATGACGTGGAACACAAACAGAATACAAAAAAGAGGATCAAGAAAACGAGCAAAAGTAATCGTGGCGGAACCGTAACTACGTGCCAAAAGGGAGTGTAGGAGCGACGCAAAAGCAACGTCATGTTTTCGAACGATGAAGTGCGAATTCCGAGGCCCCCATCCAAGAACCCGACACGTGCCAACCTAACAAGAGCTTTCGGTGAATTTCTTCTTCTCTAGGTCAAGTCATCCGCCAGCCGCTCTGAAGGTTTGCTCAACTAGCTGTACAGACAACATACACTGCATGGCTAGCAACGCAGTGTACGGGAATCCGGAAGGCATGAACTAGCCAATGCAAGCGGGTCAAGTTTGATGGAGGCTCCATTAGAGTGCAAGAGACTGACTCAAAGCCAGTCATGGGATGAGATGTTGCGAGCGAGCAACATCCAATATTTATCTGTTGCGGATACAGTCCTAGTA